CAGAAAATTTGTATGATGGTTTCATTGTCCTCTATAACTCAAAATTAAGTTTTGGTAAATGCCTCAAATGTCCCTTAAAAACTTCAGTGAGTTGAGTATCATGAAATCATCTAAATTTCACCTCATTATATTTCTACTTTCAAGATGTTTCATCATTATTTGTGTCAATTTTAAGTGTTCTACCTAAGTGCCCTTCCCTTCCTTCCTCCCTCCCTGCCTTCTAACCCACTTGCCTGCCTGCCTACCTACCTTCCTTCCCTCCTCTCTACACACAAAATTCTCTTTCTGAATACAAACTGTACCTTCTAAGTTAATATTTCTGCAAATTTATGACATCCATGGTAAATTTCCCACAAACATTTTAAATCTTTTAATTAATAGATGCTCAAAATCTTAGTTTTTCTAAACTGAAATGTCTTCATAATTTTAGCCTGTCATATTATTGAGATTTCTCCATCTTCTTGATAGTTTTACTCTCCCATTTTGGGCTACTCCACCACTTTGCTTGGTTTTATGAGAACATGAACAGGACATTTCTTTGAGACTCAGTTTTCTCATTACCAAAACTCAAAGAATTATGATCCTATTTAGCTATGAAAATGTGTCACAATAGGTACAATATATCATATTTATACAAATGTGAGAGCTTATAAGTTTGGCCTATAATCCAAAATACATTGAAATATTTTAAATCCAAAATTTCTATACATCAGTTCTATTTATCAGCACTGTTATATTTCCAAATAACAAGTATAACTAAGAGTTGACTATTATTTCTAAAATTAAAAAAGAGAAGTTTTAAGTTGCCAAGGGACAACATGAATAGAAGTTAACATAAAGTGGGCTTCACCCCAGCATAGGTTGGGTGCTATATTCTTAGTGTACATAGAAATATCTCGCAAAAACTTTCAGCGTCATCCTTTTCCACTTTCTCTCAATTGTTCTACAGAGTGCAGACTTGTCATTTCATACCTTGGAATTAACAAATCTTCTATCCTCTCATATGTTCTTCTTTGACAACTGCTAATTACAGGATACAGGCTCTCATTTTAAGATTATGCTTTATTAACTAGAGTAAATCAAAGAGTATAGATTTTATGTGGGGTTTTTTTAGTATTAAAGTAGACGAGGTTTATAATTTCCTGTTTTTACAAGAACTGGGCCACAGCAGGAATGAGATGGCACACTGCATCTATGTAATATTTAATAAAAGGACTATTTACAAGGGTGTAGATAGAGTTTAGGGAAATCAACCAGGAAAACCTCAGGGCTCGGGGCTCATAACAAGGATTAGGTATCCCAGGTCTAAAGACCTACGCAGTGACAGTGATTTGGATGAAGTGGCCAGAGGGTGGCCTGGGAAACTTCTTAGGATTAGTACACACAGGCAGTCAGGTACAGTGACTGCCTTCACAGAGAGTTGTGGTGCTCTAAAAGGTCCAAAAGTGATCCTGGACACCTTGTGGTAGAGAAAACTAAGGCTGAGATAAAGTTATAAACGGGAAAGTGTCACTGGAGTGATTATTCTGCCATCACAGCAGCTACCTAAATGCATAGTGGGGATGGATTTTAAGTGAATGAAACATTGACTAAGTCTACCCTTCACACAGTTGTATTTGGCCATGCTAAATATACCTTTGGAATTCTACAACCTCTTCTTGGTAGTAAATACTAAGCATTACAGAATTCCAGAAGGACAACAAAAGATGACTGTTCTGATGAAGGAAATAGCTGAAGCAGGAGTTGTAATTCCCATGAACTCCCTTTTAACAGTCCTGTCTGACTAGTATACCAGGAAGACAGTTCCTGGAGGTTAACAGTGGACTCAGTGATTAAACAAAGTGATTCCTCTGACTGCTTCACCTGTGCGTACCTAATATGTTAGAACTTTACAGGAAGCTCAACAAACCTAGCAAGACTGATGTGCCATTAAAGACTCAGCTAGTACATTCTTCCCAATGCCGGTTGCAGAGTCTGGTCAGAGGTAATTTACATTTCCTGGTAAGGAACCCAGGGTGCATACACCATTTTGCTGCAGAGGTGTTTGACTCCACTAACATATACCCATAATCTCGTGAGGCAGACTTAGACTTGATAACCATTAAGAGTATGCTAATACCACACATTGATGATGGTGGTACTAGTGCATTAAAAATCATTAGTGAATTGAAAATAAAGGAATTTGATATATGAAAAGGTGATGCTTTAAATGAGTAGGGGAAAGATATATAGTTTAATAAATGGTGTTGAGCTATGGTCATATCTGATTAAAAAACATTTAAACTCCATATCTTTATCTGTATAAATTCCTAATGGATCACATATCTAAAAATAAAAAACATGAAACTTTGAAATTATGGGATGATGTTTATGTAAATATGTGACTGGAAAGGCCTTTCAAAATATGACACAGACCTCAGAAGCCATAAAAGCAAAAAAAAATAATAAATTTGACTGCATCACAAGCGACATGAGGGTAAAGAAAATTTCTTTCCCATCTGATTTTGCAGAGAAGCAGTGTGGTTAAAACCTGGATTTAGTGCTGGCTGGCTGAGATCAAATCATGGTTCCCCTACTTACCAGCTGTAAACCGCCCTGTGCCTCAGTTTCCTCATCTGTAAAGTGGAGATTGTAATGGAAATGTCCACAGTGGGTTGTTGGGACTAGTAAATGAGCTTATGTGTAAAGCACTAGAACCATTGCAAACATGCCAGTTGTTATGTTGTTATTCCAGCATCCAGCTAAGTGCTCAGCATACAACACTCAAGGCTTGGAGAAGGTAAGAAAGAACAGAAATGCCATGACCCATTGTGTTTTATTTTGCTTAAGTTCCTGGGAGAATGAATATAAGTAGTGCCTCATTGTGCCAAATATCTCATTCTAGTTTCTTAATGAAAACATTTCTTCCTTATTTCTAAATGGCTTCTTCTTTTTAGGGTCATCTTTATTAGACTTAACTTACCTTTTCTGATTTATTTATCCTTTAAAATTTTAAATTACTGGTTTTAAGGAGACAGGGGGCATAAATTGTACACATTGAAACTAGAAGAATATGTAAACAGTTAAATCGGAATATCGTCTATAACTTCTACCAAGGACCCTTCGTATACCTCTGTTTTCAACTTGTTACAACTCTCTGCTGATTCTTTTTTTTTTTTGAAAGAAAGAATTTCATCATTTCACAATAAATAAATTTGTTATTTCATAATAAAGATAACAACTTATCTTTATTATGCTCATTGCCATCACATGATTCTGGGAGTTCATCTCTTACCCTGCCTTGTTTTAATCTTTTAAACACCATCTCTCCCCAGAAATCCAAGAGTATTTTGGAATTTCTAAAGGCTGATCAAAAATTAAAATAAATTATAGATAGCATAGAAATTGCCTTCCATTCCTCTCCGAAGGCTTTTCATAGCTCTCCACCATTTCTTCCAGGATTCAAGGCTACTGGCAATCTCTCCCGCATTTTATCAATCTCAACTTCTCTCTCACTGCTTCTCAAAACACACCCTCCAGCAAGACCCTTCCTCCTCACAAGCCAGGGTTATCACCAGTCTCAACTGTGTGCTCCTTCATTTGCATCCTCTTTCTCTCCACCCATTCCAATGGTTTGTTTTCTCAAAGGTCAGTGTGTGCCTCTTGAAAGCCTTACTGAAATCTTTGTCCATTAAACAGACAATCTCCTTTATCAAAAACTCATTCTGTTTCAGGCCTAATTATACAAAGATGAATAAAGCATAGTCCCTGCCCTAGTGGAGCTTGCATCCTAGAAGGAGCTAATAGGCAAATGTATTTCTGATGGAACATGAGATGGTAGAGCCCATGCATACATAAAGCACAACAGAAGATCAATGGAAGAAGGAATTTGCTTTGTGTGAAGCCAAGAAAGATATGGGAAAAAATGGCATTTGAACTCACCAGTAAAAGATGATTAAAAGAATGCTAAAAGACACACTGTCTCCCAGGCAGAGAGAATATCACAAAGATCATTTTTTCTTTCCTTGAATAACTTTTTCCCCCTAAAAGTCTATGGCACTAAAGAAGGCCCTTTATTTAAAATGATAATCACAAGAAGCTTTGATTAAAAAAAAAAAAAAACTCTTTATGGATGCAATTTCTGTGTACATACATATAAGATGAGGAGTATGTCTTTTATATTTCCCTCAGTGCTTCTAAAACACAACTTAGGCATAAGTGATACTACAAAAACTGCTAGATTTTTAGTTCAGAGTATATAAAAAAGATTTCAATAAAATGTCAATAAAGCATAACTACAACAAAGTTTGATATTTCAAAAGTCAGATCAAAAATTATCATCCAAAAATTATCTTAGCCTGGAGGACATTTCTAAAGATAGACACAGATCAATCCCAGATGACTCTTTGCTCCTCAAACACATTGAGCTGCTACTAATTGTTTCAAGGTGTACTAAGATGATGAGAGTTAACACAGCTTGGAACGTCCCGGGAATTTTGTTAGCTCAATGACCACCCAGAATATACACAATGAATCATAAACTTCCTCATTTCTCACACTCAAAAATGGGTGTTTACTTTCCTTTTTTTTTATCAGCATTCCATCTGATTGAGACATACATTTCTCCACTAAGGATCCTAGCCCCCTGGTAAGCCTCCTGAAATCATTTCAAGATGAGAAACAGACAAGAGACAGTGGCTCTCCCATATCACATAATACCCAGGGACTGATGTCATGTGTCCACGAAACCAAGGGAAGAAACACATAAAGTGATTCATGTGAGAATATTGGGGAACTTGACAAAAGGGAAATAATTATATATTGGGACTTTTTACTAGAAAGACAATGATATAACCAACTAATTGCAATTATGTCATATAAACAAAAACAAGGAAATAGTCTTTTCATAATCATGAAAGCCCCTCAGCTGGGTATAAAAGGGGACCTGGGGCGAGGAGAGTCCCAAACTCAGGAAACTCACTCTCCTGGAAACCCACCCAGAACCTCCACCCTCTGACACCATGGTCAACTCCTGTTGTGGCTCTGTCTGCTCTGACCAGGGTTGTGGTCAGGAAACCTGCTGCCAACCCAGCTGCTGCCAGACCACCTGCTGCCGCCCCAGCTGCTGCGTGTCCAGCTGTTGCAGGCCCCAGTGCTGCCAGTCTGTGTGCTGCCAGCCCACCTGCTGCCGCCCCAGCTGCTGCATCTCCAGCTGCTGCAGGCCCCAGTGCTGCCAGTCTGTGTGCTGCCAGCCCACCTGCTGCCGCCCCAGCTGCTGCATCTCCAGCTGCTGCAGGCCCCAGTGCTGCCGCCCCAGCTGTTGCCAACCCCAGTGCTGCCAACCCACCTGCTGCCGCCCCAGCTGCTGCATTTCTAGCTGTTGCCGCCCCAGCTGCTGCCAGCCCCAGTGCTGCCAGCCCACCTGCTGCCAGCCCACCTGCTGCCAGCCCACCTGCTGCCAGCTCACCTGCCGCCAGCCTTGCTGCCGCCCCTGCTGCTGCCTGCGTCCAGTCTGTGGCCAAGTCTCCTGCCACACCTCTTGCTATCGCCCAACCTGTGTCGTCTCCACTTGCCCCCGCCCCCTGTGCTGCGCCTCCTCTTGCTGCTGAGCCTCTTACCTGGACCCACCCTCACCCCTTCCTCTTACTCATCAGAGAAGCAGTCTTATGCACCTTATAGATGACTCAGGAGAGGCTATTCCTACCAATTATGTGTTGATATGCTGGCCTTAGGTCAAACTCTCTCCTGTTGACTTTTCCCCATGTTGACCCAAAGTATGAAATTAAGTGTCATTTATATTTTTAAAAAGTAATAGAATTGCCCAAATTTTACACCCTAACTTTTGATTTCTGGGTGCCAGATCCTCCTGTCCCAAACATGGAAATTCCTGCAGGGTTTGTGGGGCAAGGATGTGACCCTCTCTATTTCCTTTTACGGTGATATTTCTGTATCTTATTGTTGCTGCTTCTGAATAAAACTCCAATTTCCTAGCCTAGAAATGCAATGATCTTGCGTCTGTTGCTTTGTAATGATTGTCTTCAGTTGCTGGGAACTTATATTCAAAACACAACTGAATGAAGCTTTCCAATTCCCGCTCTCACCTTCAGGAAAATCCCAACTTGATTTGGTATTTAATTTTTAAAAAGTGACTTGAGATAAAAAAGAAAACAACCTAAGTCTCATGTCAGTGGTCACCTGTGTCATATTCAAATCCTCACTGCCCACTTAAGCCGTAATGAAAGAGCCATCAGAATACAACACAGTTCTGTCCTCCTGAGTCACCCAAAAGAATTATGGGACTCTCAGAAGCATCATCACTCACAGGCTGGCATGAGGTACCAGCAGTATGAGACTGAAGCACATGGCACCTAGAGGCAGAATGTCATGTGTGGCTCTCTTTGAGGAAGCTAAAGCAAGAAAGATACAAGATGTGATTCAGGAAGAACTGATCAGAGGAAACCTAACACATCAGGAAAGGAAATGTTTTCCATCCATGTTGAAAATTTAATGAGGAAAACAAACTTACCTAATTTGATAACTGCCTGTTTATCAGGAAAAACAATAACAAGGAAAGAGTGCTGCATCTAATGACAGCAGCCCCTTAGTAGGGGATAAAAGGCAACCTGGGGTAAAGAGACTTCCAAACCCTCCAAACCTACCTTGGCTGGAAACCCACCTGGAACCTCCATCCTCCGACACCATGGTCAGCTCCTTTTGTGGCTCCGTCTGCTCTGACCAGGGCTGTGGCCAGGAGATCTGCTGCCAACCCAGCTGCTGCCAGACCACCTGCTGCTGTGGCTTCAGCTGCTGTGTGTCCAGCTGGGCAACTCACCTGACCCTATGAATCTGTCCTAGGTCAGCTGCTGTGTGTCCAGCTCGGCAACTCACCTGACCCTATGAATCTGTCCTAGGAAAGGAACTAAAGGGTGAAAACTAAATGCTTGGAGGGCTCCGTGAATACAAAAGCAAAAAGAGCACAATCCATGCTTCATGCACCGTATCAGACAGCTTGCATTTTTGGTGTTCAGACTCGTAGTCAACAATAAAGGTGTCCACAGCAAGAGTGCACTGATTCTGCCCCTAATTCCAACAGGACCTCAGCCCTGACTTACTTTTCAATAGAAATATTTCAAATCCAAATACACTCAGGGGACAGACAGCAACCTAAATGAGTGAGGCAGGTCCCAGGGAAGATAATGTGGTTTGGTGGGAACAGCGGCAAACCGCAGGCTGCAAGACCTCATCAGAAAATACTACTGAGCTCTGTCAATTCTTTCCGTGTGGAAATACGGACTTACTGAAAAGCATGTTGGATTGCATTGATCCTCCCAGACGCCAATCTCTTTATTCATTCATTCAAAAAGTATTTACTGAGCATTCATTATGTGGTAGATCCTGTTATAGGTACTGGGGTGACAGCAGGAACCAACACATACAAAATTCTCTGCACTAATGGAGACTATGTTCTAGTGGGGTTTGTTGAGAAAAATCACTGATGTGTTTCCTTTTAAATACTTTTCTATATGTTTATATGCTCAGGTTTGTACACAGTACTTTTGTTTGTGCTTTTATTCATATAAATGAGGTTGAGCTTTGGTGCACCTCTTTAGATACAGGTATCTGTGACACTGAGCTATATTATGCCCACAGATGGAAGACCTTGTGGCTGAAAATGGGATGAGAAACACCTGCACATACTTCTGTGAAGTGAACATTATATCACTACACGTGAAAGAAAGCAAGTTGGAACAAAGTGTTTATACTATGCAAACATTCGCCTAAGAAACAAAGAATATGTGAATATGTAAATACAGATAGACTTATATTTAAAATAACAGTGTGAAATAAAACCTTAAATTTTAAAAAAGATTATTTATGGAAAAGGGAGGGAATACATGGAAGGAACAGAAATAAAAGCAAAACTTCCTTGAATATGCCTCATGTTGTAAAATTTATTTTGGAGTCGTAAATAACTGACATAATTACAAAACAAAATTAAATTTTAAAAAATCATTTCTAGAAATAAAAAGAAAACATTGATGAAGTGTTTGGTCCCAAGCATGATGATAGCAACATATGGATATAGTATGCACCTCAGGGATTCACCTGGAGACAGATACATAAACACATTCAGGTGACAGGTGAATGCACTAAATTAGAGTGCTCACCAGCATAATGTCAAGTGCAAAGGAGGAGAAGATGAGGTTTTGATAAAATCATATGCCATGGAAAGCATCAGTGAGGAGGGGCATCTGGGCTGGAACTTAAAGGAAGAATAAGAATTTTCTTTTCTTTTTATTCTTTTTACTTCAGGATATTATGGGGGGTACAAATATTTTGCTTACATGAAACACGTTTGCCTCACCCACACCAGGGCTACAAGCGTGTCCTTCCCCCATACAGTGTGCCCCATTTCCATTAGCTGTGTGTTTACACCCCACCCCCATTTCAATTAGCTGTACCCGCCACCCCCTGCAATCCCCATTCCCCCAGTTGACATGGAAGAAAGAACATTCCAAGGCAATGAAATGTAACAGCACAAAGATGTGGAATAAATATTGTCTACTCTTTGTACACTATTACTGGATGTAACAACCTTAACTCACTTCTATGGGAACACATAGAGAATAATGAGTACCTCATGGGTCCTTTGAGAAGATAAACTAAGACAAAAATTACACAACATTCAACAGAAGATCTGGAACATGGCAAACACAAACAGTAGCTGTCTATATTATTAATATCTCAGTTTTTACTGAAATTACATGGAACTTAAATATATAATGCTTATTTTGAACCCTAATCTTGAAATTTTGCCAAAAATCTTTTCTTTTACTATACCATGTTTAAGTGGCTATAGGTGCTTAAGAGCAAGGCTTATCTGTTTATATCCTCTTTATCTAAGCAGAATATCTTGAACTCATATTATTGAAAGAATACAAGAAAAGGATGCTTTAAATGAAATACAGAATTTATTGCACACATTAGTCTGTCATAAAAAAGATTAAACCACTGACTTTTCACATAAATTTGGGAAAAATTCTTGGGGGGGGAATTCATTTTCTGTTTTTTAACATATGTATGATTTTAATACATCACAATTAAATATAGCTGTGAGTTTTTACTATTGAAAAGGAATGATTCAAAGCTAAGTCTTCAGATAGAATCATGATAATGCAATTGGATGGTCTTTGGCAAGTGCAAGTCTCTCCAATTGCGGGCAGTTAGCTGCACTCCCAACAAAAAATCAGGTCCCTTAGGCAGGTGTCATCTCAAAGGATAAGGAAATAATAAAAAATAATAGAATAGAGAAATAAAAAAATACACAGAGATGAAAGTACAGTTTTATAAAGTATAGATTTTATGAAAGGTGGGGGCTCAGGAGACCCCCACAGCATTCCTGTGAGCTGTGAGGCCCCAAGCAAAGTTTCACATCACTATTTATGGGTATCATGATTGGTTGCCAGGGGTAACAGATTTACATAATAGCAGGTAGTTCGTTTTAGGCTAAAAGTCTCCCAAAAGGCTTCTAGAGATCCCTTAATTAATTCTATCTACATGAGCAAATGGTTACAAAATCTTTCTAAGACAAACTTCTAAGATAAAGCTATCATTTAGCAGAAAGGCTAAACAGAGATATAGTGGCTCTATATTTCTTTATCTAGTTATTGTGGATTGAGATACATAGTCAGGAGTGAAGCAGGAACTGTCCCTTGGGCTAATTGCTTTTAGCCCCAGATGTCTGTCTGTCTGTCGGGCAGGCACTCTTTGATCAGCTCTCATCCCATGGCTCCATGAAAACCTATTTGTCGTACAAAACAGGGGAAAGCCACAGGTTTGAGCCTGCAGCGTCACCTTGGAAAGCAGCTGCCACTGACCTGTGAGAAGCCCTCCTGAGGCGAGGCAGCTTTTGGTATATGAACTAACACATTCACATATTCCTTCAGGGCAAAGCCCTGCAAAACTCCTGAAATCATTTCTGTCTCTTTATAGCAATATTAATCTATGGAGCAACATCTAATCAACCAGGAAACACATGTAATATTGCTGTCTTTCTCTGTCATAGACAAGCAATTCCAGTGATGAATCCTTCCCCGTTTCCTTATCAGCACTCTACCTGACAATGGTATGCATTTACTCACTTTGACACAAAAAGAGACTTACATTGTGAGAGCCATCCTCAAAGTATCATCACGGAGACATACACAAAAAAAGAAGAGTGACATGTGTAAAAGCTCAGTAATCGAATATCATATGAGATTATCTATTTAGAAGACACCTTGGACAGAGGTATAAACAAGAAAGTGGTTTACATGGCTTCACAAGACTCTATGAATCATAAAACTGTAGAAAAAGGAAATGATGCTTTTCTTAGATATTGGCATATTTAACCTGAGAAACATAATTATAACATAGTGCTACTAATTAACTTCCCAGTAGGAAAAAACAAGATGAAAATGTTGCTCATGGGAACACTAAAAGAGTATAAAAGGGGACAGGAGAAAGGAGGCTTTCAATCTCAAGAACTCACTCTCTTAGAAGCCAACTCAAACCCTTTTGTGGAGCTCCACTCTTTCCATTGACACCATGGTCAGCTCCTGTTGTGGCTCCATCTGCTCTGACCAGGGCTGTGGCCAGGAGACCTGCTGCCAACCCAGCTGCTGCCAGACCACCTGCTGCAGGACCACCTGCTGCCGCCCCAGCTGCTGCCAGCCCACCTGCTGCCGCCCCAGCTGCTGCATCTCCAGCTGCTGCCGCCCCAGCTGCTGCCAGCCCACCTGCTGCCAGCCCACCTGCTGCCGCCCCAGCTGCTGCATCTCCAGCTGCTGCCAGCCCACCTGCTGCCAGCTCACCTGCCGCCAGCCTTGCTGCCGCCCCTGCTGCTGCCTGCGTCCAGTCTGTGGCCAAGTCTCCTGCCACACCTCTTGTTATCGCCCAACCTGCGTCATCTCCACCTGCCCCCGCCCCCTGTGCTGCGCCTCCTCTTGCTGCTGAGCCCACTGCCCTAGGCCCACCTCTTCCTTCACCTCCGTCCCCACAGACATAGACCCTTCTTTTGTGCCAACCATTAGGACACATGGAGTGGGCTGATGTTGCTCCACTGAGTTGGGGCTTGTGATGTTACTGAGCCCACGACAGGCGCAGTAACTCTGTCAGCACATCCTGCCTCAGTGCAGTTTCTCCATGTGGATCTTGTCCTCCCATCCAACTACAGATTTGTTCGTCACATACCAACTGTTGTGATGACCTGGCCAATTCTTCCCAAATTCTCCTTCTTAATGTTTAGGCACCAGGTTATTAAGCTCAAGGGACCACAGGTTGATTTCAGTATTTCTGCATTTTGGATTTTTATAGTCTATCTCTCTCTTAATTGTCTAATGAAAGTTCTTTTATAATTCTTATTTCCCAATTTTCTTATGTTATAATTCTATGCTAAAATAAACCACCACTTTCCCATGTAGGAAATTCAGTGTGATGTACTTTTAAAAAATATTTTATATTTAGTCTGGAAAATTACATTTTACCTATACTTGTAGGATAGACAACATGGTTTTTTCAATTTTATAGTAAAAGTCTATCCACATTTATCACAGTCCAGCTTTTATTAGGAGTCTCTTAAGTTATTTGACAAAATTGAAAGAATTCAAGGAAAAAAACGTTTTGGAAAAACTGTCAACAATGTTCTATTGAACAACATCTTTTGTTATTGTATATCTGCAAGAGCAATGTATAGTAATTATAAGGATAATGGAATTAGATGTCTATAGCTGGGGGAAATTGATGATTTGGGAAAATGTAATGAAAGGTTAAAGATGATAAGTCAAAATTAAAAGACGATAAAAGATGATAAGTCAAAATTAAAAGATGTGAAAGCTAGAGGTTTCAAGACAACCTAACCTGTAAACTCTCATCTCCTGCAGCCAAAGGGCATAGAAAGCCGAGGATCAAGGCCAGGCCTTAGGAATAGAGTAGCAGAACTCCAGAGATGGATGTTCTCAGCCTCAGCCATTCTGCCAGGCCAAGGTCAAGGCCCTAATTGCAAAAGAATGGGACCCCGATATATGGGATGGGAATGTCTGAATGGAAGCAATTGAAGATCTTGGATCCCCAAGTTTTTGTGAGTGGGGCTTGCAGAGGTGGTCTAGTCCTCACTCTTGAGGTCTAATACCTTTCCCCCCCTTTTCTTGAAGATGATGTAGAGCAGGGGTCCCCAACCTATGGTGAGTTGTATAATTATTTCATCATATATTACAATGTAATAATAATAGGAATAAAGTGCACAATAAATGTAATGTGCTCGAATCATCCTGAAACCATCCCCCTACCCCTGGTCCGTGGAAAACTTGTCTTCCCTAAATTGATCCCTGGTGCCAAAAGTTTGGGGACCACATAGGGGCCCCAGTCTTGAAAGACAATGCAGACTGCCTTCAGTATCTTTTCCCGATACTTTTGTTTGCCATACACCAACAACTAGAGTTCAGTTACGACACACTTCACCCAGAGAATGGCTGAACCTGCTCATGGGAGGCTATACCCCAAGGAAGCTGCAGGACTCAAAGATGACTTCATAGGCAGGGGTGAGCTTTTCCGCTGGGAGGCACATACTATCGAGTTGTCTCTCTTTGTGTAATGTCAGCAGATGTTGATCATCATTGCTTAGAACCACTAATTCATTAGTGATGGCAAATTGTGATACTGCAATTCTATTATTCCTTTGCTATGTATTAGCTGGAATAATTCCATAGAGAAACTTCCCCTCATCAATGTTTGGTTACCCTGGGAATAGTATTACAGGAAAAGCAAAAACACATGCTTGGTCCTTTCCCTTTGTTTACCAGTTTGCATCATCCAAAGGTGAACAAAATGGTTTTTTTTTTCCTTTCTAAAAGTCTGTCAATATGAATCCATCGATTTTCAATATACTTATCAGGTCCATTCAATTATATCTCTGTTACATCAAATAAGCATCTTCAAGTTACCTTTGAGTCTTCTTGAGTGTGAATCTAATAGTCTCTAAAAGTTTCCTTGTTTCAATATAACTACGATATATCCAGACACCTTCCAGACACATTTCCTTCCCCAGACTTATATAGATCTGCCATTTTCCAAGGAACTCCAGTTCCTCTTAGTGAAAATGGTATTTGAGACTATAAAATGATGTAAGAATGTTCATTACTACTAAGTCATTATTCTCTCTGCTTTTTCAGTGTTTACAGCTAAAAATATTTATTTAAAAATAACTACATCAGATTTTCTAGTGAGAAACTCCAGGGTTTTACTTAACCTCATAATACCTTACTTATAAATCTCCTTGCTCCATGCCAAAATAACAGTTCTTCAATGTAATTACTCATTTTCTTTATTACGCAATGTTTGTCACAATCTTGGAATAACTTTGCCAGCACTACAACAACAGCTGGGCTACATGAAAGCAAATTAGACTGTTTACGAGTTTTGGACGAAACTTGTTGGTTCTGGAATAATGAACATTATCTGAAGTAATTTGCCTGGAATACAGTTTAGGTCCATTGTTATGGTGTGATTTAATGATTTTGAAGATTACGGTTAATTTTGTTTTTAGTTATGTAAAATACTCACATGGGCCCACAATGCAAAATACAGAATAAGGTATAGTCAGAAAAATCTAGCACCTGTCCTCTGTCTCTCTACTGGCATTCCGTCCACCTCCCATGGATAAACTTTCTAAAAACAAATTATGGTTCAAATGTCTTTTTTTTCTGCTTCATTAAGGTCAATTGGCAATAATAAATGCATATATTAAAGCTGCACAATTTGATGCTTTGCTAACATGTATGTACTCATGAACCAACCTATCCACAGATAATGAACGTCCTTCACCCTTTGCATCCTTCCCACCCCACCCCCACACTACAATATGCTGTTACTATAAATGTTTGCAATTTTTAGAATTTGTATATAATGGAATCATGCGAAAGGTACCTAACGTTGTGAGGTGGACCGAACGATGTTACTCTAGGGCAAACTTTTAAGAGCTCTCCTAATATTTCTAAGACAATGCTTCTGAAATTTTATCCAATGACCCGTGAATTTCAAGGTTTTTCACTCTGGCTCAGGAATATGAAACTACTTTGGATCCTATGTAATTCAAGGGTTGTTTTCGTGCCTTATGGGGGGGTAGAGGATTTCCCCGTGTCTTGGGTTAATTTTTCACACTAAGGCACTAATTAGTACTAGTGGGCTCAAGCAGACTCTGCAGTTCCTGGACTGTCTGTGCACAAAAAATCTCTCCTGTTAGTTCTCCACCCAGTGATCAGGCTTCTCACTCCCCCCATCCAGCTCCACCCCTCAAGTCAGGATGATGACCGACTCACTTGGTTCTCCCTCCCTACACTGCACCCTATAAACCTCCTCAAGAAACAAACAATCAACCTATCATCGCCTCATTTGCTCCTCTCTCTCAAGACACAAGTACTGTTCCTGCCTGGCAGGCAAATGTCTAAAAACCATTTCATTTATTGGGGTCGATTTTTTTAGTTATTTCAAGCAGGGAGGTGGGAAAAAAAAAAAAAACCCCCAAAAGTTTTTTTTCTGTTTTCTCCATCTTGGCTGGAAAGCAGAAGTCCCTCTTTCTGTTTTCAATTTCTTCCATCTTTCAAAATGTGAGCCAAATATTACTTTAATTGTATCAGTGGGTTTTTAGAAATATTGAACACAATACACATTTTCTCCTCTGTTTTATCATCTCGTTAACAATGATTCTGGAGGTTACTTCACATAGCGTACAAGATGCTCCTTTCTCCTCTACAGCTGAGATACTCCATTATGGGTGCACCATAGTTTATTCACCAGCATCCTGTTAAAGACACTTGGGGTGTGTCCAGGTTTTCTGTTGATTTTTGCTTTGTTTTTACAAATAGGCCACTATGCATAATCTGTGCAACATCTTTTTATATTTTTACCTAGTATCTTTGGGGTAATTATAGAGTTGGATAATGGTCAAAGATAATTTTTTTGCTTTGGCTTATTGTAATAGTTATTGCCACAAACTCACGAGTTGAGGTCTGTTTCTACATCTCTCACTATCAAGAGAATGTTGTCATTGAATTTTGCAATGTAACAGGTAGAAGTATATCCCAGTAATCTCATTTCTTTTATTGCATGGTATTGGGTTACTTTCATGTTGAGGAAATATTTTCATTTATTTTCCTATGGATATAGTTTTCTTTCTATTACTTTTAGAAGTCCTTATATACATTCATACTTTGTGATATAATTGAGTATTTTTTTATTTAGTCATTTGTGTTTTTACTCTTGTTCGTGATGGTTCTTTAAGTATCTTTTAAATGACAAATAATTGTCTTTTAACCTCGGATAATTATTGTAAAATGTGTGTACTTGTATAAATAAAAGCAAAGTAAGAATCATCTTTAATGATGAGGTCCTTTATGTACGTCTATTGTGCATGTTGTAAACTGGCTCCATGAACTTCTCTGAAATGTTTATTACTTAATACCTTCCTTTATTACTCACTGTCACCACCTAGACAAGCATCACCTTTCACCCCAGACTAAGCCACACCTACACATTTTTCCTGCTTCCTGTCATTGGCCCCACACCAAATAATATTTGCAAGATGTTTGCATACCTTTCTTTACAATGTATGATGAAGTATAACTCAGGATCTTTATATAATTCAAGAATTCCTTAATTCCCCTCATTCATACCATTGAGTATATATCTTCCATTACTTCTAACAATAGCTCTAGGACAGTCATCATCCCCACTCAAAACAAATATCCTCATTCAACAGTCCCCATTGTCAGAATGCTCTTTCTTCTTCGCTATCCATCTGGGATATCGACAGTATGTTAAAAGGTGAGTTAAATGCCCTCTGTTTTCAGTCGAATCCCTTCACTCATTCAATGACCTATGTCATGCATTTGCTGACACCATATACATAAAAATGAATAAATCATAGTTCTATCCATAAAGCTACGTGGTTTGGCCCCCAC